CGATATATTAAATATAGAGTATATAGAGTATGTGAAGGATATGTGCGATTATAGCTATGTTCGATAGGTAATGTTCTGTAGTTAATGTTCAGTTGTTTATACTGTTCATACTCTCCATGTCGTGTATTACTTTATTGATAGTTTACGGTTTTTTTTTTAATTTATTTATTATTAAACTATGTATAGTTAGTAAGCGATTTGGTTAATAAAGATTTTTATATATATTTAAGAAATTATTGGTTTAAAGATATTTAAACTTACCCAGATACACATTTGACAATAACTGTCAGGGTCAATATATTAAAAATTGTTATTATAAATTCGAATTTACAGTTTAAATCTATCTTTTTGTTTAATAATTTCTAAATTTTTTTTATTTCGAACTTGTTTCGATTAGCCAATCAGATTTTGTATCGTCATCAGATGATCTACAAAAATTAGCCAATAAGAATGAAAGCCCGCTATGTTGTGTTACTCACCTGATAAATGATATACCATATAAAATTTTTCTATATATATTATATAACCTGATAGTTCTGCCGACCCACCCACCCACTTAAAAATCACCTGATTTCCGGAAGCTCCCTTATATACCTTTATTACAAATTATGAGATCATATATAAATTTTATAAAATATAAAGGCGACATTTCACCTTTTTTTTTTTTTTTTATCTGATTTCACTTTTTAATAAATATGAGTGGTTTTGATAACACAGAAAATTTACGTACTTTTGTACAAATAAACCATGATGATATTATATTACCCGGGGAACTTTGTCGCACTAATAAAGATATAGGAATCTGTATATTTGTTCATGGATCTGGGTCTAGCAGATTTAGTCCAAGGTATGAAGATTAAAAAAGATAAAGATTTCGTGGGACATTTAATTTAATAAATGAAACCCACGTTAAAAATCAGGATATATGCTCGGATTCATGACTTATAAAGGTTCTTGTTTTTTTATCATATAAAAAAATAAAAACAGGATAATGGATATTTATTATGTTGAACGTGTAGATAGATTCTCGTATTATTAAAATTTATCTTTTTTACGTAGCTGTTGTTATATTTAATGGTGTGATAAAAAAATGTGATGATAAAAATTTATGTGAAATTGTTAAATTTGTTAAATTTGTTTACTGTGAACAACCGAACAGTAAATTAAAAAATAATAATTTAATAATTCAATTGTACTTGCTAAAACGTGAAAGTATATGTTCTTTGTAATCTTTCTAACGTATTTTCATAAACGTTCCAATCATTTTAAAATATGACCGATATCAGAAATCAGTAAGTGTTCTACTTTTCAAAACAAAAGAAACCGCTAAATTATTACTTTTCTCTGTTGTGCTACATCAGAGCTCACATTTTTATACGATACCAAATAAACACTTATTTAGATATGTTGCCGAAGTGCTTCGATCCCATGGAATTGCCACGTTCTTATTGGACTTGCTTACTCCTCAAGAAGAACAAGTCGATGGAGTTACAAGACATTTACGTTTCAATATAGGTTGGTATTTTTTCTGAATGTTTAAAATTTCTATCATATTGTTTTTATTTTGGGCTGGTAATAGGTTGTTTTACCTACCGTGCCTAGTTCTTGGGTAGTCTTCTAAAATTTATAATAATAATATTTATGTGATTACATATTTATTGTTTATCGTGTCTAATGTCACTTTTTTTTTTTGAGATAATACATATACAATACAATGTTTCTAAAATTGTCGCGACTAATATGGTAAAAAATAATAGATTTACTTGCCAAGAGGGTGGTATCGGTAATTGACCATTTTAAAAAGGACAGAACTATTAGAGATTTGCCAATTGGATTGTTTGGGGTAAGGATTTCCTTTGTCATAAATTCTAATTTAAAAATAAAATTTATATAAAAATATATGTATATATTTGATTTATATTTATTTTTTTAAATTGGAAATTATTTAATATCTTAGGCGTCAACTGGTGGAGGAGGTATGAAGAATGAACTTTGCATAATTATTTATAAAATAAATTTCCTGACTTGGTAATTAACCTTCGCCAACATTACCTTATATTGTTTATGACTTGATACCGATTCTTTGCATTCGCTTTTCTCCGCAAAATTAAAATAAAATAAAAAACTATCAGCCGCGTTGTTAGCTGCTCACGAACGTCCAAATGAAGTCCAAATGATCATTTCCCGCGGTGGTAGACCCGACTTAGTCAAACCTGAAATTCTTAAAGAAATACCGACTCCAACGTTATGTATTGTTGGTGGAAATGACCTTGGTGTGCTGAACTTGAATGAAAGTGCATTACGGAATTTAGGCAGTCAAACAAAGCAATTAGAAATTATTCCGGGAGCGACTCACTTGTTTGAAGAACCAGGTAAAATTTATTGTATTTGGCTGTGAGATCGAAAATCATTTTTCGGTCTTACAAATTTAACAAAAAAAAAAAAAAACTGTAATTTCCTAGATCATAAAAAGAAAAAAAATTTCTGTAAAATGAAATACGAAACTTGTATAAAAAAAGAACTCGGCGTATGTGTAAATGCGTTATTAACATTAATCGTTTTTATTTGGGAAATTTTTAATAGGTTGCCTTGAAAAAGTAGCGGATCTTGCAGCTCAATGGATCAAACAGAATTTGACAAATGATCACGAAAAAAACTAAAAGTTAAATTGTGGTGTAATGATTTATGCAGTTTTTTTTTTTTTAATACTTTCACGTCTTTTAGAGTTGCTTAGATATGCAATGTGTTTTTATGCATGATAGCCGAGTTTATGCATAGCATCTAAAGAAAAAGCACAATAAATAAAATTTACCACGGCTTCATTTTACAGCATTATTAAAATGTTAATTTATATATTTTTTTAAAGAATTTTAAAGCTATAATAAATAAACTTAACGAGCTAGGGCTTAGAAAGTGTAACATAAACTTTAACCCCTATTTTCGATAGTGTAATTACATTTGTACTATCCTTTAAGAACTGGTGGCGACATGGTAAGGCGTCTTCGTACGTGTCTGTTTGCGTACGTACGCTCGTACATTATTAACTGATCTATTTCCATATGGAAAGGAACCATCATTACAATGAAATTTGTAAGAGATGCTGGGCGTTCTATCTGTGGAAATTTTGGCAATAAACAAACCGATAAGTAACCAATTCAGAATAAATTATCTGTCTGAAAACGGAAATTGTTATTGTTATGCCAATTTTCGGCTTTCTTAGGAATAAGTTAGCGAGAGGATAAGTTTGTGGTTCACGTATGTACGTACGTACAACCGTCAATATTTTTCGGTGATACAAAACTTGTACATTTTAACCAATAGCATTTTATATGTTTAACCATATCATTGTATTAGATTTTAGCCAATAATATTTAATTACTATCGTAAAGGTAAAGCCAAAATATTGTATTAAGAGTACGTAGAGGATATGTAGACTATTATTATTATTAGTTTGGCGATCATGCCATACTTTTATTTTCTTAAAAAAATAAAATTCGATATGGCTTACCCGGTTATCATGTGTACCTATTGTGACCATTTGACCATTTTCTACAGGGGGATCCCCAAATTTCCGAGTCGTAATGGCCGGAATGCGTCGTGGTTAGGGTCGGGGTTAGGGCTGGGTTAGGATTAGTGGAGTTATAGGCTATAGTAAAATTATCAGCTGGGCACTTTTCACTTAATGAACGACTATTGTTTCATTAGTAAAATTCTTAGTGATCTTGGGTCAACTCCGGCCCTTCCGACCCGGAATTTTGGGGATCTTCCTGTAGGAGTTGTTGTGACCTTCCAAAGCAGAATTCCTAACTCTTGCAGGGCAATCCCAAAATTCCTGGTCGGAATGCATCGGAACTCTGGTCTGATAGGCCGGGATCTATCAATTTTGACCAAGAATTCTAAAAATTTTACTAAATCATAATCGTCTATTAAGTATAAAGTGCTTAGCTGATAATTTTAATAGCTTCTGCTAGCTAGAATAGCTAATTTTTAACCCTAATGGCAATATATTTCGATTAAAAATTTTGGGAATTGCTTTGTAAAAATATATAAAAAAAATTTGTGTTTGGTTTTTGGTTATGTAAAAATTACAATTTTTACTAAAAATAAAATTTTCTATTATTAAAATTGATTAAATAGTTGAAATAATTTTTATTATTTCTTATTTGAAAATTACTACATATCATCACTAGTGATTATCACTAGTCCTAAGATTTGTTAGGGTTAGAGTTAGAAATTAAAGAATTATTTTTTTTATATATACAGTATATAATATAATATAGAGCTAATATAAGGTTTCGATTTCAGTTCTTATGAGATTTTTAGAAGTTTTGAACATTTTTATTTAGAGTACTTGAACCTGTTTACTTTGAGATATATATAGATGCAGATATATGATTTATAATATAATATTTTTGTGGCATCTAGGTTGTAACTCAAGACATAACACATCAAAAAGCTACAACTAATATTTGCCAGAATATTAGTTATATGCCATAACTTTGGTTTATGTTGTAACTCCAGATATTGTAACTTTTGACAATACCAATCATTCTTATATAGCAAACTTCAATATGAAGACTAATTAAAAAGTATTAAAACCAATCTATTTGAAATTCTCTCAGGATAATAAATTTTATATTCCTTTGATCAAATTTATTAATAAACTTTTTATATAACAGATTTTTTTAAAAATTTTACTAATAGAATAGATTACTCTATTAGAATAAAAGCGACTTATAAATACTTCTCTATTATCTATTATGTAATATTATATAATATAAATTCATAAAAAAATTTTTTATTTAAAATGTATTATATATTATAAAACAAAGATTTAATAATTAAATATATTTGTTTTAAATTTTTTATATTTTAAAGCAATTAAAGCTTTGAATTTCTATTAATATACAATTAATACAAATAAAGTTATAATATTTTACATTATTATATTAAATATAGTACAGTAATTATTGAATTTCTAATTCAATATTTAAGACAGTATTGACAAGGTCCTCACCAATTTTGTTAAATATCCTCAGGAATACTTTGATAATGAATTGCTAGATAAGATTTAAAATGGCATCTTTACTTTTATAGCAGAATTTTTTACAGTAAATACATATATTATTTCTAAATTGTAATATAAACAAATTTGTCTGCAAAGATTTTTACTAATTTTTTTAATTTTTAAATTTTTTAATAAAATTTTAAATATTAATTTTAGCTATATATT